AGCCCTTTACAGGATTTGTGAGCCTCTGGGAGTCCAGACTCCTCTCTCAACAGGTACTTGCAACCTCAGCACCACCTGGCAACGTTTCCTCCTCTGTAAAATGAGGATTAACTAGACCCTCTCCCATAAAATTATGAGAGTTCAAGAAACTATAAATAGGCACTTGAGAACAATGCCAAAGTGTTCAGTGTTACTATTTGCATGTAATATGCAGTACTGCATTAAATATACATAACCATTCTTTGAGGCAGTTACTATTAGTACCATTTGGAGAGCTTCAGTAATAAATTCCAAACTTTTTAAAAAGTCCTTTCTGGTTACGCTAAGACTGAGGAAATGAACACTTTTTCCTGTCGGTGGTCGTCGGTCTAGGGAATTCTGCAACATTTCCATCGGAGAGGAATGGGCCCAAATGTACCTTTGCCAGGGAGTGGTCTTGTGAGTAAACTGCTATTTTCCGTGGCCCACACAGACTTTGGATCTCTCCAATACCAGTCACAATTTTTTACTTCATTATCCAAATTGATGAATTGATAAGACTTCCAACACTGCAGCCTGGCAATTGCTTAAACTCCACTTCTGCACTGATCTCACCCTCTGCCCTGCCTAGATGTTGTCCTTAGCACCTACTGCAACCTCTCCCTCTCTGTGTGTGAGAATCCCCTCTGGTATGCCTGTTAAGGAAAAAATTAATCTGGCTACTTCTTAAAATGGGAAGGAAGACTTCATTGAGGATGAGTGCAATATCCATCCCCACCCAGGGAGCTGACCCACATGGCACAGCAGCTGTCTCTTGTCTCCCCGGTGGCTCCCCTTAGCATGTACTTCATGGATCTGTTACAGGGCACCCCAAAGTGAATTGGGTTGTCTACCTGTGGGTCTTCACCTGTGCGCTTACGATTCAATCGTATAATGGACAAACTCAAAAGGCTAAATAATGGATTTATTTATAAGGAGAAAGGTAAAGGAATTACCCAGAAAAAGAGGGAGAGAAATACAGGTTAACTAGGATGTCCTACCAGTTCTGCTGACTTGGATTCCACCGGCACGCTGAAAACCGATTGAGAGCCAAAACGATCAGCTGCGAACCACCAGGTCAAGAGCCCCCAAGAACCCACATGTCCGGTTTTATCCCAACCTGGCTGCTCAGCTCTGCCCTCACGTCCCTGCATGCTTCTTCTTGGTACTGATGAGATTTGGAGTTCCAGCATGGAGTGGGGGCGGAGTCTGTGAAACCTGTACCTGTTACAGATCTGCCTGTTCTGCTCCTAACTCTGTCTCTGGTGAATCCTCTCACCCCTCACACACACCTCCCACCCACCCCTCGGCCTACACCCAGACTTGTTTCCTTAAACAAATAAAATAAATCTTTTTTAAAAAATTGATGTGTCAAAATCAAACACCAATATTTGATCCCCCATCCCAATCTACTCCTTTTGTGGTCCTCCCAACTTTTCCAAAACCCTTGGGATTATGCTTAAAGACACTCTCACACCCAACATCCAACCCATCAACAATTCCTTTTACTTCTACTTTTAAAATATATCAAGTATGGGACCTCCCCAAGTGGCCTCCAGGTTAAGGCTCAGCCCTGTCACCACTAGGCCCTGAGTTCAATCCCCAGCCAGGGACCTTACCTACACATGGTGCCAAAGACTTTCCATTTTGTCCACTGCTCCCCTTGCAATGTTATTTCAGTAGATCTGCCTGTTCTCCCCACTGTCTCTGGTAAATCCTCTTACCCCTTTACCTCTGGCCTATACCCCAGTCCTTCTATGCATAAATAAAACACACACACACACACATGTATGAGACAAGTATCCAGCCACAACTTACAACTGTGGCCCCAGCTGCTTTTCTCTCTTATCTGAATTATCACAATAGGGTCCATCTGGTTATTTCCACTTCTGTTTTTGCAATATATTCTTAATAGTAGTTAGAATGTTACTAAAGCAAATATAGTTCATAACACTTCCCTTTTCAAACTCTCCAATGGTTCCCCATGTACCTCAGTAAAAGCTAAAGGTCTTTACACTTAGGGTAGCCACTTTTGATTTTCTGATTGACTAAATAGTCTGGCTACAACAGTTGGTGCCTGCTGCCTTGGTGTAAGTATTAACAGCATTTCCTTTGCTCAGAAGTGTCCCCAGTGGCCTATATATGGCCTTCCTATCAAAGCCTTACCCAATCAATGTGCATTCCACCTGATGTCATCTTTTGGAGTTCGGGGTCCTTGGGTTCACTCTGGGAAAGATTTCGCCAGAGATCCCCTTTCATGGCAAGATTCTTCACAAGACAGAGACTCAGTTATATTTAAAGAGTAAGTTTGTTAGAAAGAGACTAGAGAGGAAAAGACACTTGCATAGGCACAAGCAGGCAGGAAGAACTGCCCTGGAAGGGACAGGTTTGCAGGGAGAGAGACCTGAGTGGTTGCAGGCAAATGGACTTAGGAGAGCAGCAGCCACTGAGGGAGGTCAATGCAGAGAAGTCCTGGAGTGGGTGGAAAGATGCACCTGCACAGGCACAGGTGGGCAGAGGAGCAGCTGGGGCGAGGGGGGGGGGGCTGGTGGAGAGACTGCCCTGATACAGGCAGCCTCTCCCTGGGAGGGGCTCACTCCCTGTGAACCTAGGTTTGTTGACTTTGAATAGAATCAGAGATTCCCTAGTGAGCTTCATCTCCATGTCCTTATCTTTCACCTTTTGTGTTTGAGCTTCAGACACAGCCCCCAATAGTCTATTATCTGCTGGGACCTCCCACAGACATCCTGGCATCAGGCTTTGGCGCCTGAGGACCTTAATTTTATGGCTGTGTCAACTGCTTCACTAGTCCCTTCTACCTGTCCCCTTGTGCGACTCATCTTGTGATGTCTCCCCTGCATTCCTTTCTCTATCACACCCACATGTATGATCTTCCCGTGTTTTATGGGCGTGTGTATACCTCCTTTCTCTAAGAGGATATTATTTCTTAGTGAAATCTCTGTCGACCTCACTTCAATATTGAACCAAACCTTATTTTTCACCCCCCTATTTTCTTCCTCCACACTTAACTACCATTTAACACCTCCTTTACTTGTTCATTTTGTTCATTACCTACTCCCAATAGAAAGCTCCACGAAACGCACACTTGATTTTCCTCTGTGGCTCTGGTGCTTCTAACAGTCCATGCCTATCCAGGGGCCCGGGTAATAATTCATAGCCGGGTCGGAAGCCCGGCACACCTAGGGCTCCCCTCCCGCCACTGGGCTCGCCCCGCCCCCGCCCCGCCTGCAGGGGAGGGAAGATGGCGGCGCCCAGGGCGGCTTCAAGAACGGGCAACCAACGAAAGGCCCCCCGCCCCAACACCCAATCCCACCCTCCCCGGCTCGCTAGAGCGTCCACGCCGCCACCTTGTCTGCGGTTGCGTCCTGGGAAGGCGCGAATTCGGGGGTTACGTACAGGCCCTCCTCTCCACCATTTTTTAAGGGAGAAAAAAGTTACTCCCAGACACTGCTTAGTCTGACAGTCTTATGCGCCTGCCGTTTCCTCTCCACTTGGGATTTCGGGGATCCCAGGTGTGTAGGACGAGGTGGTGGTTTTCAGTAGCTGACGCTTCTCCCCTGATGTTGGTTCTGGTCAACGTGTTAAGTGACCTCGGGGTGTCCGCTCAGGCGCCGGGTCTAGGAATCTCCTAAAACAAACCTCGGCCGCCCCTCGGAGACAAGGCCGCCGGGCCTCAAAGGCCAATTCCCCAGTGATACATTCTCCCCACTGGCCCCCCAGGATA